GGAGTGGACAGTCCATCGGTTTCCTGCTGAGAACCATGGCCTCAGATTTGGAGGTGCTGATCCTCATCCCAGCCGCTTCACACTCGGTTGCGAAACGATCCAGTGAGTGCTGAAGGTCGCAGACCGATGAAGCCATTAGAACCACATCATCTGCAAAAAGCAGTGGTGCAATCCTTAGTCCACCAAACTGCAGACCCCCTCCCCCATGACTACACCTCGAAATCCGATCCATGTATATTACAAACAGGATTGGTGACAAAGCGCAGCCCTGGCGGAGGCCAACCCTCACCGGAAATGGGTCCAACTTACTGCCGAGGACCCGGACACAGCTCTCGCTTTGGGAGTACAGAGATTGGATGGCCCTGAGTAGAGACCCCCTCACCCCATACTCCCGCAGCACCTCCCACAGTAACTCCCTGGGAACTCGGTCATACGCCTTCTCCAAGTCTACAAAACACATGTAGACCGGATAAGCGTACTCCCAGGCCCCCTCCATGATCCTTGTGAGAGTAAAAAGCTGATCCGTTGATTCCACGACCAGGACGGAATCCGCATTGTTCCTCCTCAATCTGAGGTTCGACAATCGGCCTGACCCTCCTTTCGAGTACCTTAGAGTAAACTTTCCCGGGGAGGCTGAGTAGTGTGATGCCTCTGTAATTGGCACACACCCTCTGATCCCCCTTTTTAAAAAGGGGAACCACCACCCCGTGTCTGCCACTCCTTCGGTACTGTTTCCGACTTCCACGCAACGTTGATGAGACGTGTCAACCATGACAGTCCCTCAACACCCAGAGCCTTCAGCATTTCCGGGTGGATCTCATCCACCCCCGGGGCTTTGCCACTGTGGAGTTGTTTGACGACCTCAGTGACCTCCCCCCGGGAGATTGGTGTTGATCCCCCGTCATACTCCAGCTCTGCCTCTAACATAGAGGGCGGAGTTGTCGGATTCAGGAGTTCCTCAAAGTGTTCCTTCCAACGCCCTAACACTCCATCAGTTGAGGTCAACAACGTCCCATCCTTACTGTACACAGCTTGGATGGTTCCCTGCTTCCCCCTCCTGAGATGTCGGACAGTTTTCCAGAACAACTTTGGTGCCGCCCGAAAGTCCTTCTCCATGTCTTCTCCGACCTTCTCCCACACCTGCTGCTTTGCCTCGGCCACGGATGAGGCTGCTGCCCTTCGGGCCTGTCGGTACCTTGCAACTGCCTCGGGAGTCCCCCGGGATAACAAATCCCTGAAGGCCTCCTTCAGTCGGACGGCTTCCCTGACCACCGGTGTCCACCAGGAGGTTCGAGGGTTACCGCCCCTTGAGGCACCTAGGACCTTGAGACCACAGCTCCCCGCCGCGGCTTCGGCAATAGAGGCTTTGAACACCGACCACTCTTGTTCAATGTCCCCAACCTCCACAGGAATGCCCGAAAAGCTCCGCCGGAGGTGTGAGTTGAAGGCCTCCTGAACTTGGGCCTCCTCCAGACGTTCCCAGTTCACCCGAACTATACGTTTGGGCTTACCAGGTCTATCCAGAGGCTTCACCCGCCACTCGACCCAACTCACCACCAGATGGTGATCAGTTGACAACTCTGCCCCTCTCTTTACCCGAGTGTCCAAAACATACGGCCTCAGGTCCGATGATACGATAACGAAATCGATCATGGACCTTCTGCCTAGGGTGCTCTGGTACCACGTACACTTATGAGCATCCTTATGTTCGAACATGGTGTTTGTTATGGCCAATCCATGACTAGCACAGAAGTCCAGTAACAAACCACCACTCCGGTTCAGATCAGGGGGGCCGTTCCTCCCAATCACGCCCCTCCAAGTGTCTCCATCATTGCCCACATGTGCGTTGAAGTCTCCCAGCAAGATTAAAGAGTCCCCTTCAGGGAGCCCCATACAGGACTCTCTCTCGTCGATCAAAAACATGTATCGTACGGTACTGGCGTTATCAGGAGTGTTGCTTGCGGCTGCAGAGATTAAGAAGCGGAAGCGAAAAATCAGGAGAAACCGCACCAAATGGGTGAACACATGGATACTACAGCGAGAAGCTCAGGGGGCTTTCCCGAACCTGTGTCGAGAGCTGGAGTTAAATCAAATCTCAGATTTCACACATTTTGCTTGGCTTTTTCCTGTTCAGTTTCACATATTGAAGGAACTCATCACTCTACTCATCCAGAGGCAAAACACAAATTACCGGGATTGTACAAAATAAAAAATGTGCCTACATAACTGTCAGTTGCAGCTGTACATTATTATTGGTTTAACTACTAACAGTATATTTTTTAAAACACATTTTAAAATGACCATCTTGAACAGCTACAACGTTAAAATACTTCTAGGCAGATTGTGGAGGATAATGGGAGAAAGAATAGAGGGGCAGACAGAAACACCCATCTGAATAATGGCCACTTCTTGCAAAATTTACATTTCCATGTGATGCTCACAATAGGTAAATGAACAATCAAATCAAGTTTTATTTATATAGCACATTTATAAACGATTTTTGGTCGAGCCAAAGTGCTGTACATATAATAAAAATAGCCTACAGTAGAGACACTTTACAGCAAATACAACAGCACAGATTGTTCAGAATATCAGTATTAGAAAAACGACACCCTCTATCCTTAGTCCCTCACATCGTACAAGGAAAAACTTCCAGAGAAAAACCCACAGTTTAAAGGGAAAAAATTAGAGAAACCTCAGGGAGAGCAACAGAGGAGGGATCCCTCTCCCAGGACGGACAGACGTGCAATAGATGCCGTGTGTAAATCGAAGAGATAATACATTTTACAGCATATAGACCGAATGAACAACAACAATGAACAGTGGTAGACAGTAGCTCATTTACTTGAGCACTGTACTGAAGGCCTTCTTAATCGTTTGTTTTGGTCCCTCACTTCCGCTTCGCTTCTCATGCACTGATTCGCTAAGCTGAACAGCCAATCAGAGTGATTTCTTTAGCCGACTTTCTTTGGCCAACTGTCTACCGATTCAATAAGTTGAATCGGCCGCGGGAGGTGTGAACATTTGCCGTAAAGAGACGACGGTGCGGGACACACCAACCTGAGTAGGGCGCCGCAAATGCCCGACTGCCTCCGACGGCCTCTGACTACCAAAATTGGGTTGGTGTGTCAGGGCCTTAAAGAGCCTGTGACACGAGTTTCCCCCATCATCCAAACCCATCAATTTGAGTAAATATTGTCCCCTTGAAAACCGTTACTGAACTGATTTTGGATATTTGTACTTTGATAACCATTAATCTGCCCTTCAATGTTGACCATTTTCTGGATCTTCTCGGGGATTCTTCAAGTCCCGCCAAATTATGTGTGACGTCATTGCGGGCACAGCGCTCCAGCTGCACCGTTCAGGATCCCAGCATCTGCATGTAAACGCACGATGGCGCACACAGCAGCAAGCTCAGACAGCGATGACAGTTTAATTTTTAACGTGTCTGAGAGCTCATATGAGGCTGAAGGATCGGTTTATGTTGTATCTGTTAGAAGTGTAGGAATTAGGTGCGTCAATATGGGCGATCATACGGTCATGTAGCCAGTGGGACTAAAAATCATCCCGGGACTCTCGACCGGCCCACTTCGGTACCGCTAGTAAGTTGTCAACGGGGGGAGTGGGGGATGTCAGGGGCGGCGGGTGCTGTAGATAGTAAATGTAAATATGTAAATATTTGTGTCACTGCATCCTGGTAAAATACAAATATAATGCAATGTCTGTGTCTTTGACATTAGCGCTGCTAGCCACCTGTGCCCTGTACTACGAAGCCAGTTCAACAGACCCTGGATATGTTTGAGTAACAAACAAACTAACAACAACAAACTAACAAACGAGATCTCGCTAAGCGGTCCTACGACGCTGGTTATCAACTCGGTAAATCAAGCCAGGGTTTCTCTCACCAGCTGAGAGCACGTTCACGTCTAAGACACGAGTGGATCTGACTTTAATTACATTTGACTCGAGTGTTTCGTCAACATAATGTGTTGCTTAAAATAATACTTCTCTTCTGCATACAGTATGTGACACTGTAAGTGTTGCACGGCCAGATACGGCTGGAGAAGCTGACTCAGATAAGGAAATATATGATACATTATATGATCGATGATCTGATTGATGATGTAATATGAATGATAAGTGCGACACGTCGGCGTCTTCTCTGCATACGGCAGTTTAAACTGTATTTCCTTTATCCTGTAATATGACTTGAGAGATTTAAACTCCGCACACTGAGTTGATCTCTTTTCTATAGACGACGGAGGCGGGCAGCGTCAGGTAAAAACAGTTATTTAGCCTTCCCAAACCTGAACCTCACGCGGCGCCTATGGGGGATGTGCTAGTGACTTATCCGACCGGCCCACTTCGGTACCGGCCCATCGGGATTCGTCCCGATGGCCAGTCCGCCACTGCACCCAGCCCATGTAAACTGTCAACGGGGGGAGCCTCGCTGCGGGGAAACGGTGGACCTGGTGTCCCGATCGGAGTGGGAATAATAATAATAATAATCATCCGTGCATTTTATCCATTAATTTCCCCAACATTGTGGTGAAAAAACCACACGTTTAATCCATGTTGGTGTACTACAACTACAAAAAGCATCGGGTGGTTTTCTCATCAGGAAATGCAGACCGGCACAAACAAACGATTTGTAATCATCATTCTCACGATCATTTAATGTATCATATGTTCGCCGAATTGACATGAAAGCACTAATAAATGTAGTTTCATCCACTTGAGTTTACAACTACAAAAATAATCGATTTGTTTTTATATCACATCCTACGGGAGGAAATTCAGCAGCTCTCACTACCGATTTTTAATCCTAATGTAATCATCATCTTCACCACGATCATTTCTGTTTATGTTCGCCGAATTGACATGACAGCACTGACACATATGAATATACTGTAGTCAACTTCATTAAAACGTTATTAACGTGCCTAAACTCAGTAATTCACCATTTCTACGCATGACAACACACTTTGTCCGTGTTTGGCTCTCTCGCCGCACAGTGAAGCGTTTCCGCATTGACGTCACTTCCGGCTTCCCCCAAAACTTCAAAATGAGTCCAAGGAATTTCCCCGCGATGTTCGAAATTATTGATATTTAACGGAACGGTATCGCTTTTTCTTTTTTAAACTGACGGTTCGAGATTACTAGTAGCCCAATATTTCATTGCACAACAGTTGTTGGGATGCTGTCACAGGCTCTTTAAGGGTGTCTTCCCTCTGCTGAATTGTGACACCTTTAGTGATAAACTATATCAGACCTTACACTCTTTCATATCAGTTTACCAAACCGTGTACATTTAGTATATAAGTATAGAGCTTTGTGACATATCATGCATTTTACATTGTGGATTCTACAAAATTATATTTGATTATATGAACTTTTGTTTTAATTATTTAACCAAATATGTGACCTGCTCCATCGAAATCAGTCCCATTGACCCGAAGACACATTTTGAGTTGTATACACTGTTGGAAAGAGGAGATTCCTAGCTTTCTAATGATATCAGGATTGTTGTTGTACTCCAAATATTAAGCGAAATATGTCACATTATATAATGACTGTCACTGAGTCATCATTTTGAGAAAAAAGGCCTTTAAAGTGTTCTCTTCTCTGGAATCCATCGATCTGATTGATTATTAGTGGAGCAAATGATCAAAATACTACGGAGGGAAGATATTTTCGTTTGGAGGGGAAGCTCGCTCGCTCGTGTGTGTGTGTGTGTGTATACGCGTGTGTGTGATTGTGTAATTTTGCGTTTGTGTGTATTGTGTTTGATTCCCGTGGAAAACACTCATGAGAAACACCGGCTGTTGTTATGCCTGCTGTGACGTTAAGTTACTCCGTTCTCAGCTTGTAATTATGCCGAAGCTTCAAAGTTGTATTTATCATCTGAATTTGCCGAAACAAGTTTAATATTCTGAAAGCCAAGACTTTGTTTAATTGAAATCAGATGAAAACAAACTGTAACGGACCCTGCCGTGTTATCTATGATTACTATACACCTTACATTCATAATTTCAGCCGGAGGGAGGGGGGGGGGCGGCGCTGCGGAAGAGCAGATTGCGAGTGAGAGCTGTCTTCGTCCATTTACAAGCTTCAAAAATGTATTTACCGTGTGATTTTGGAAATAAAAGTTTCATGTTCTGAAAGCCAAGACTTTGTTTGTTTAAAATCAAACAAAACACCCGAACCCTGAAAAAATAGTTTTTTACGTAAATCCACGTTTATTTTGAAATGAGCTGTTGCGACTTCGATAGAGCGGGTCACATATGGAAACCTCCTCGGTCTCTGGTTGTAAATGTTGCCGGTTCTGGTCCTCCACAGTCCTGTCTTTACTTTGACCAAACATGTTTTATCACAAACAGTCAAGTTAAAGCATTATATACGACTTCCTGGGACTTACCCAAACAATTTAAACCTAAGAATAATCACTGTCTTCAGTGTCAGGTTCAGAAGAGTCTCCAGGGTAGTCCTCAGTCTCTGGTTGTAAATGTCTCTCTGGATCTGAGTTCCTGGCTGGTTCTGGTCCTCCACAGTCCTCTCCATCAGCTTCTGTTTCCAGGTGTTCAGTTTGTCTTTGATGAAGCTGAGAGGACTGAGGTTTCTCTTCATCATCTTCACTCTTCACAGGGACAGGAGTGAATGTGGACTTGGAGATATCAGCCTCCTCCAGCCCTTGAAGCTGCTCTCCCTCCTGACTGCTCCAGAGTTCCTCCTGTTCCTCTTTAATGTGTGTGGGGGGGCTCTGGGTCCTCCTGGTCCAGACTGGAGCTCCACTCCTGCTGCTCAGGGGGAACCTCTTCTTTAACCACCACCAGCTGCTGGACGTCTGCAGGAAACAGGAAACACACACAGAGACGTTAGAGAATAGCTGTTGTGTTCATTACGTCACAGCTCAAAGCCCCGTTTTGAACCCCTTATTTGTATATTCCTAATTAATATCATACATACATATGGCTAATATCTTTTTACATCTATGCACCAACAATTATCGCAGAGAAAGATAATTACAATTTGAATGGTTTGGTACCCCTAAAATCACATGTGGATACAGCTTGGGACCCGGATTGCCTTTTGTGTTTTTAAGGCAGTCAATAAACTAGTAACATAGCTAAAGTTAATTACATTCATCAAATGTCTTGACATCAACAATTTAATTAAACATTGTCCGCGTAAACGTTTTCACCCTTACATGTCCAGATAAAAAAATTATTGCAAGGTTTTACTGATTCTCACGCTTAACTTAAAATATCATTTATGCTGCTGCCCTCCAGAGGGAGCTTTATAGGTTTTTGCAGGAATTGCTCATTCAATGTGATCTGATCTTCATGTAAGTCACAATTATAGAAAAACGCCATCTGTTTAATCTTGTAGAACACACATGTATTAGTTTCCATTTTGATTAAATCACTAAAAGTATTTGACCTCCTAGAAGTTGACAAAAACAAATTGAGTCAGGAGTTAAAACACTTTGTTTTAATCAGTGAAACACGATAAGAAGTGCTGTTCCAGCGTTAACTTGTAAAAATCCCTCAAACATTTTAATTTGCTATTCACAAGTTTTAACTTCTGATGTGAACCATGCCTCGCAAAAAAAAAATATCTGAAGACATACGAGGAAGAATTTTTGATTTCACCAAAAGTTAGGGATGCACCGTTAGGAGTACGAGTACATGAGGACAGTATCGGCCTGATACCCGTTAATGGGATCGGTATCGTTGCATCCCAAATAAAACACAGAGGGTTACAAATAAATATCAAAGAGTTGAGATATTGATGAAGATGCAGGTTATGTATAATGGGTTACAGCAGGGGTGCCCAACCTTTTTTGAACCGAGAGCTACTTTTAAAGTTGCCAGTCTGCCGAGATCTACCAGTCCAAATAGAGAGGCGTAGCCATTACTGACAGCCTACTACCAGGTAAATACACACTTCTACTTGTATAAAACTGACCTTTGTACGATGAATACTTCATAAAATACTGCAGATCCTTTATCGTACCTCTTTCTAATCTACACACATACACGTATTTAACTGAAGTTACACAACAGTGTTGTTGATACAGAGTTGGAGTTTATTCACACGTCACTACAGTGGGTAATGTTTTCAAGAAACATTGAACCGTGCTGCCACATATGACACAGGAAAAAAAGAAAAGACACTGAACCTTTTCTTTGCCATTATATAAAAATAGTGTTGCTACAAAAGTATAAATTAGGCTTACTAATAAGACAACTCAGATCTGAAGCTACACAGGAATCTGCTGCCAAAGTGCAATAAAAAATACAACATTAATAGAATCAAACCCATTTTTTGTTGCATTTTAGTAGATTATAAAAATAAATGGCTTTAAAATAGGATGCAAGCAACACTGGTTTCTTAACTGAATTGATAATAGACTATAATCAGGGGTGCACATAACTTTTTTGCCCTGGTTCTCAAAGGAGCACCTGGAAATGTTGCTTGGTGCTCATCCTTAAAATGAAATAAACCGTAACTTTTGAGGGGGTCTTGACTTTATTTGCCAGACACACGGCACTGAACACACATGCAGAGGTGAACACAGAACACACATGCATAGGTGAACACAGAACACACATGCAGAGGTGAACACAGAACACACATGCAGAGGTGAACACAGAACACACATGCAGAGGTGAACACAAGACACACATGCAGAGGTGAACACAGAACACACATGCAGAGGTGAACACAAGACAACATTAGCACGAGCAGTAATCCTACAAGCTGTCATCACTCCCTCCTGACTGTCCTCCTCACTGTCTTCCTCTCTGTCAGACATGGTAGCTGATGATGTAGGCCTACTTCTTTCTCTCTGAATGAGTCTGCGATTAGCTGCTTGCATCCACAAGTCAACAGCTGGGTTTGGGTCGAAAGTCTCTGTTGTCATCTTAGACAAGTGGGTTTAATGAAATAAGTATGTGAACATAACCAATAACCTACCATAGCCAATAACAAATTAATGTAACTTATTTTATTTATGTTGTTCATTCATATCTTATTTTACCTTAACATTTATTTATGCATTTTTTTTTATCTCTCCAGTTTTAAAGGATATTTTTGGTTACTGTCCTATAGTATATACATTGGAATGATTTCAAACCTGTTTATCCCAATAATTATAAAGGAGAGCCTTGGAAATATGTGTTTACATAAATTGTGACCAAACCGTTTGAACTTAGACTAAAGTTAACTATCTAAACACTCAGAGTCCTTTACCTCACTGAGCTGTAGTTATCAGCCTCTCAGTCTGACTGGAGAGGACTCTCCCTCCACATCATTGTAGAAACATCTTCTTCTTATATCCGTTAGAGCAGCTAGCACGAGATTCTAATAACAACAGCGCCGGTGCACCCTCCCTCTCTCCCTCCCTCGCTCACTCGCATTTTGGCTGTGAGCTGCGGGCGCCAGATAAGCCAACATCCCCCATTTTAATCACTTACAGCGCCCATCGTACAGGGCAAATGAAACGTGTAACCAGGGTGAAAAGGGTGTACATTTACTTAATTATGAATATTGTTACATCAAGGCCGAAAATTAGGATGAGCCCCAACGGTCAAAAATGTTTTTTTCCCTCCCAGAGCTGCCAGCGCAGCGCCTCCACAGATCTGGCGCCCTAGGCGAACATCTATTACGCCAGTGCTACGGGCCGGCCCTGAGTTCATATCATAGGTTCATATGCAACTCGCAAATATATTTCTCTCTCTCTCTCTTCTCTTTTCTCTCTTCTCTCTCCTCTCTATTCTCTCCCTTCTCTCTCTCTCTCTCTCTCTCTCTCTCTCTCTCTCAATGTTGGTATGCAAATGCACCTTTTTTCAAATGACAGGGTTGCTCTTTTTTTGGCGGAGGTGCGCACGCGCACCTGCGCACGCGCACCAGTTATGTGCAGCCCTGACTATAATCAATTTAAGTTTGCATTCTTATACCATTTTCTACAATAATTATAATGAATAAGTTCAAACAAACCAAAACTTACAGCTGATTAATAACGGTATCTAACTTGAGTTTTTATTATATCAAAAACCTGTTGAAATTCTACTGTTATTTTGACTGTCCCCAAAAAGCGTGTCGGCAGCCTCCAGGAATGCTTCTTTCACAACTTCGCCGTCTTTGAAAGACTTCATGCGTTTCACAAGAACGTGACTGACACGATAAGATGCTATGGTAGCAGCCTTGCTCTTTACTCCAGTTGACACGGACAACGTCAGCGAACTAGTACCCACCAGCCACGCCCCGACACATGGGGTCACGCCGGCCAATCACAAAGCTTTGATGCGTTCAAGTGCATTATTCTGGCACAGGAAGATTATGTTACAGGACATTAACGATAAAACAGAATATTGTTGTTCTATTTTTAGAAACATCTTGCGATCGACTGGGAATCTCCCCGCGATCGACTGGTTGGGCACCCCTGGGTTCATTTTAAACCTTTATTTAACCAGATTGGTCCCTTGAGATCATATACCTCTTTTTCAAGGGAGACCTGCAGCAAATAGGTTCCACATGAAACATAAAACAATAGAGGACATCATACAACATATTTACAAGCTACATTTACAAATACCCATAGTTTCAAAGAGCATTTCACTAAGACTAGCTTTAAAAACATTCAGAGGAATGAAATTGCTCAGTTTCAATTTTAGCTGTAGGCTGTTCCAAGCAAGTGGAGCTGCGCACATACAAGCTGTCTTACCTAAGACAGTCCTTGCTCTTGGCACATCTAACAAGACTACATCATGCGATCTCAGGCAATAGCTGCTTGCAACTTTCTGCGTTATCAGAGAGCAGATGTAATACGGGAGTTTACTCAACATGTCTTTATAAATAAACGTGTACCAATGACTGAGCCTCTTTACAGTAAGTGATGGCAAACCTGCCTTGGTATACAGTGTACAGTGATGTGTAAGTGCTTTACAATTAGTGACAAATCTCAGTGCGCTGTGATAGGCGGCATCTAACTTGTTCAGGCAATGGGCAGGTGCATTCATATAGACCAGATCACCATAGTCCAGCACAGGTAAAAAGGTCACAGTGATTAGCCTTTTCCTGGCCTCAAGTGAGAAACAAGACTTGTTCCTGTAAAAGAAACCTAGTCTAACCCTCAGCTTTTTAAGCAGGTTATTGACCTCAAGTTTAAAAGTGAGACAATCATCAAGCCAGATACCAAGGTATGTGTAACAGGCAACCACTTCAAGTATTTTTCCTTGCGCAGTTACAATATCCAAAGCAGTCTCTGGTGTCTTTTTAGCTTTTGAAAAGAGCATTACCTTGGTTTTATCAACATTTAAAAGAAGCTTTAGTTCAGAGAGCTGAGTCTGAATAATGTTAAAAACAGCCTGTCATTTAACAACAGCCTCCTTAATGGAGGGACCTACACAATACATCACGGTATCATCCGCATAAAAATATAAAGTTGCGCCATCGACATTTTCACCTAAACTATTAATATAGATGGAGAATAAAAGTGGACCTAAAACAGAACCTTGGGGAACACCATTTGTCATGTTTAACCACTCAGAAGTGAGCCCATCAAATTGAATACATTGGGACCTTTCAGCGAGGTGGTTCACCCTTGGTGGTTGGTAGTGCAGCCTGATGGCTACAGGCACAAAAGATTGTCCGAGGAGCTTAGTGCTGTGCCGAGGAGGGATGAGTCTGAGGCTCCTCATCTTCACTAGCTCTGCATGGAGGGATGAGTCCGAGGCTCCTCATCTTCACTAGCTCTGCATGGAGAAGTTAGCCCTAACATCATTGCTTTAAATCTGACGAACAAAATCTGAGGTCAAGGCATCATTTTGAAGGAATAGAACTGTCAGTCTTCCGTAACTTTAAAGTCATTCGGAGGGGGGGGAGGGGCGTCTCCTCTCCTCTGTGATGAGCTGCTGCTGAAGGGGGGACTCACATGCTGCAGGACTTCTGCCCCGTGTAGCGGATGTCTGCAGTATCAGTAAATGAAATCCAACATTCAATGTTCTGGGGAGGACGTTGTTTACCCTGTATGCACTGTGCAGCTCCTTCAGCGACAGGCTGCTGCACCCCCGCTGTCTTACGGAGAGATACCGTGGCTCAGTGAGATAGTGCGCTGAACTTAGAGTGCTGGACTTTGAATCAGGGGATAGCAAGTTCAAGTCCCACTGCAGTCAGCATGTCGTTGTGTCCCTGGGCAAGACACTTCACCCCAAATTGCTCCTGTGGGGATTGTCCACAGTACTGAATGTATGTAAAAGTCTCTTTGGATAAAAGCATCTAACAAGCAACATGTAATGTCATGTAATGTCTCTCCAAGCCCAAGAAACGTAAAGTTGATTCGGAAAATCGCCAATTCCAGAATGAATGGACTGACAAATATGTATTTACTTTGCCAGCCGCAACTAGTAATAAACCGGCGTGTTTATTGTGCAACGAAAGTATATCCGTGATGAAAGAATACAACGTAAAGCGACACTACAACTCAAATCACGGCTCATTTTCTGCCAGTTTTCCGGTGGACTCAGAGGAACGGAGAAGGAAAGTACAGGGACTGCTAGCATAATTTGAACGGAGTCAAGTGGCTTTTAGTCGCTTTTGTGCGGAACAAGAGAGAGCTACGATAGCATCCCTGCGAGTAGTCTGGACACTAGCCAGACAGAAGAGGCCCTGTACCGACGCAGAGACCGTTAAAGAGTGCATGCTTGCTGTCATTGATGAAGTGGTTATTGACCAAAAAGTAAAAGACAGTGTCACTTCAGCCATTACAAAAGTACCTCTCTCAGACACAACAAGACTTCGCTGAGTGGAACTACTTGCAAAGGATGTGTCGGGGGAAGCTTTTGGAAAACCTTCGAAAAGCAGAGTTTATATAAATCGCTGTGGACGAATCAACTGACTGTACTGACATGGCCCAGCTATGCATCTATGTGAGATTTTTCGATGGAGTTCACTTTAGGGAATAACTTCTGGGGCTTATTCCGTTGGAGGGACACACTACAGGTGAGGTTATCTTTCAAAAGATAGTCTAGTTTTTTAACGAACGTCAACTGGATTTAAAAAAAGTGTAAAAGTAAAAGAGGTAATATCTTGCATTAATGAGAGCCTCTTTCAGATGGAGCTGGTTGATGTGCAGTCTTCCTTTGCTTTAAAACAGCTCCTGCAGTCTGAGGGTGTAGTGGACTTTTGGTCTAACCATGTTAGCCAGTATCAGTACCCCACAATGAGGAAGGTACTACAGACGAAATCTAGCCTGTTGGCTAACTCTGGCGCATTTACAGAAATGTAAATCAATGTGTTTAAAAAAAAAAAAAAAAGGTGGCCTTGCTTATACTGACAATGTTTGGATCTACCTATACTTGTGAGTCTAGCTTTTCTCATATGAATGCCATCAAAACATCACGTTGCTCCATGACCAATGAGAAGTTGCATGAGTGTCTCAGGATTGCTCTTACCACTTATGAGCCAAACTATGCTGAAATAGCTAAATCAAGGCAGTGTCATTTCGCTCACTGACTCAAACAGGCTAAACATGACAGAAGTATAATGCATGGAATGTATGCAGATCTGTTTTTATGGTCATTCATTTTATGGTCATTCAAACACGCCTACTTACTGTTTTGAAAATTGTAAAAATGTTTCCAATATATGAATGTTATTGTGAGTCTGATGGCTATTGTTTTACTATGTTCTATTTGCATTTAGTATTACATTTTATGGACTTGTGTTGTCTTCAAAGCACCTTATGTATGCTTGGAAGTGTTCAGGATATTATACACAGGGCTACTTACTGTTAATGTGATGAATACTGTTTTATTATATTCATCTTGTTTTGTACATTAGTGGACATGGAACTGTTGGGGGAAAAAACCGCATGTCTCCTTAGTTTTAAAGATGCAAAATGTTGCACTTTTGTGTCAAGCCTTGTAACCAAAGCTTTCCTACTTTTGTATGGACTGGTTGCTTTCTGAAATGATTTATGTTGATACAATTAAAGTAAAAAAAAGGGATGCACTTGACTAGTTCATTTAATGTATTAGTATCTATTAACACTACTGTAAGCAAGAGTTATTTGTAGTGATTCCTTGACAAAGTATTGTGTGGCCCACAAACCCCCAGTGATTTTCCTATTTGGCCCACTTTCTAATGAAGTTGAATAGCCCTGTTGTACATGATAGAGATGTCCCGCCCCTTAGCCTAAGCGGTCGACCAATCACAACAGAGCCGGCCAGCTAACCATTCAGAGCAGACTGGGCTCTGGTTTCAGACAGAGGGTGAAAAGAGGCAGTATGACAAAAATAAAGCGCTTTTTCAACATTAAAGCATGGAGACATGTCCCAGTGAAGACAATATACTAATACCAACCTGAAAATGAACAGAATATGTCATCCTTGTTGTTGTCCTCGGTCTCTAGTTGTAAATGTCTCTCTGGATCTGAGTTCCTGGCTGGTTCTGGTCCTCCACAGTCCTCTCCATCAGCTTCTGTTTCCATGTGTTCAGCTGAGCTGCTGGCTGGAGGCTCTGCCTCCCTGTTCTCCTCAGTTTGAAGAAGCTGTGAAGACTGACGACCAACACACTTATGGCTTTTTACCATATGCCTCCAGGTGAATCTTTTGTCACAAATACTGCAGCTGTATGGTTTCTCTCCTGTATGGATTCTAAAGTGGTCCTTTAAACTTCCTCTCACTGAAAACGAGTTATTACAAATTGAGCAGCTGAATGGTTTCTCTCCTGTGTGGATTCTCATGTGCTCCTTTAAATATCCTCTCTGTGTAAAATACTTCTTACAGACGGAGCAGCTGAATGGTTTCTCTCCTGTGTGGATTCTCATGTGCTCCTTTAAATGTCCTCTTTGTTTAAAAGATTTCTTACAAACTGAGCAGCTGAATTGTTTCTCTCCTGTGTGGATTATCATGTGCTCCTTTAAATGTCCTCTTTGTTTAAAAGATTTCTTACAAACTGAGCAGCTGAATTGTTTCTCTCCTGCACTATGTCTTGAATCACTAACATGGTCTTGTTTATTTTTCTGAGAGTTTGAACCTGGTTCTCTGGTCTTCTTCCAATTAGCCCTGTCTTCAGTGTCAGGTTCAGAAGAGTCTCCAGGGTTGTCCTCTGGTTGTAAATGTCTCTCTGGATCTGACTTCCTGGCTGGTTCTGGTCCTCCACAGTCCTCTCCATCAGCTTCTGTTCCCAGGTGTTCAGTTTGTCTTTGATGAAGCTGAGAGAACTGATGTTTCTCTTCATCATCTTCAGTCTTCACAGGGACAGGAGTGAATGTGGACTTGGTGATATCAGCCTCCTCCAGCCCTTGAAGCTGCTCTCCCTCCTGACTGCTCCAGAGTTCCTCCTGTTCCTCTTTAATGTGTGGGGGGGGCTCTGGGTCCTCCTGGTCCAGACTGGAGCTCCACTCGTGCTGCTCAGGTGGAACCTCTTCTTTAACCACCACCAGCTGCTGGACGTCTGCAGGAAACACATATTCATCAGAATCGGTTATATTTACCAAGCAGGTTTACACATACGAGGAATTTGCTTTAGTATATGTGGTGCTTAAAAAGACACAGAAAGAAGCATCTTAGCAAAACTAAATAAAATATGATTGTTAGGACAGCTTTAAAAAAACAAACATGTGACAAATATTATACACTTTTTTTTAAATGGAGAACTGTGCTGATTTAAAAGAGGAAGTGTGCAGAAGTGATGTGCAGGATTTACAATGTTACAAATAACAAGGTGTTGTTGACATGCTGTGCATTAATGTAATGTTATTATGGGGTGGATAAAAGTCACTGGAAGAGGAAAGACTCCACAGCAGTGACTGGGGAGTCCCACAGATTGATGGGGGCGGGTGGGGCTGCGTTCTTGCTGAAGTCCACAACCATCTCACTGTCTTGAGAGCGTTGAGCTCCAGGTTTCAAGATTCAATATTCAAGGCTTTATCATGTGCTCAGCAACTACAGTGTTGATATGGTAATTAAAACTGAAGTCACAGGCTCCTCCAACAGTGCAACATGAATATTTATAGGACATAAAACAAATACAACGTTTTGAAATGTGCAAGTAAATACACATGAAATAGAAAATAGTGCAAGAAGAGTCTATATACAAGTTAATGGAATATGATGTATAGATAAATAATTTGCAAGATGCAATCTAAGCGGCAAACTCAGGGGCAGAGCCGTGAAGCCCAATGGAAGTGCCACAAACTGCAGTTCATCTATTGGCCAATAGGGGATGGATGCAAAAAGGAGCAATTTCCATAAACCCCCATTTCAAAATGCCTAACTTTACAGCAGAAATACACATGTTGCTAGCCTGGATCCAAAAACACCTATTCTGGATATAGTTAGATTCCACCTTCATGACAATAGTTCGGGGAGTGAGTTTTTTATAACTCACCCCTTTTAGTTACAGTACCAGTCAAAAGTTTGGACACACTTATTAATTCAATGGTTTTTGTTTATTTAAAATGTGTTCTACTTTGTAGATTTATACTGAAGACATCATAATTATGAAAGAACACATATGGAATTATCTAGTAAACCAAAAGGTGTTCAAAAATCCAGAATATGATTTTTAATTCAGATTCTTCAAAGTAGCCTCATTTTGCCTTGATGACAGCTTTGCTCACTCTGGGCTTCTCTCAGTCAGCTTCATGAGGTCGTCATCCGGAATGTTTTTCAATCAACAGTTGTCCCTTGTGAATAGTCAATTTGTGGAATTACTTGCCTTCTTAATATGTTTCAGACCATCCGTTGTGCAGAGGTAGGATTAGTGCACAGTGGAAAGCCCTATTTGACTACTGTTGTAATCAATATTATGGCAAGAGCCACTCAACTCGGTAAAGAGAAATGACCGTCCATCCTCACTTTAAGAAATGAAGGCCAGTCGATCTGGAACATTTCAAGAACTTTGAATGTATCCTCAAGTTCAGTCGCAAAAACCATCAAACGCTATGACCTTGCGACCTTGCTTTCTTACAGTGCAGACGCTTTTCTGCTTGCTCTTGCATATCTTTTTATGACGACCTCAGTCTTACAGTAGCGTGGCCTAGCAACAAGTAAAGCCTGGTACTGCATGCTATTTAGCTTAAGCTAGCTGGCAGCAAAATGCCTCCGTTCTCTACAGATGACTTCCACAAACTTCCACAGAAGATGGCCGTGTTGGAAATGAAAATGCAACGGTTGGAAGTTAACATGGAAGTGAATGGACTATGTGGGAATGACACCACATTACCAGTGTTGCAAAAGAATGGAACAGGGCATGCTAACTCACAGCTAGTTTACAAGGATTCCAAGGAACAGGAGGGCCGTGTACCGGGTAATACATCTACAAGTGGTAGTCCTCGCTGGAAATGTCTGGGTGCAAGGCCGAAGAGTAAATCATTTCCATGGGATTTAGGAGGACGAACAACAGGCAGAGCCCAGCGCTCTGAAATCTGTGATGCGACTGGCTGGCCTGCATTGTTATCACCCATCAATCCCTGTTCATACTAGGAAACAGCCGTGGACAGCTGCTAAAGGGAGAACTACAAACAATCCTCCTAAACCACAGAGTGGACAGATACGCTCAACTCACCCAGAACCGGAGATCTCTTTCTGATGACCTGGATAACCTGTCCTCTTCACACAGCAGGGTAAGGACCAATAGCTACTCCAAAAGTAAAAGGCTAGAGGGAAAGCTAACGACTGGGCCTGAAACTCTGATTGTGGGTGACTCTGCTGTAAGAGATGTAAAAAGTCTGTGTAGTAAGAACAACACCAAAGTACTCTGTTTTCAGGGTATGGTCTCTGACTTGGCTGAGAAGATCCTGAATATTGGGGCTGAACATCTGTCTGTGAAGAATGTGGTACTGCACATTGGAACAAATTATGTTGTGAAACAACAGTCAGAAGGGCTGAAAGAAGACTTTAAATGTTTGTTGGAAACTGTCAGCTCTTTAAATGCAGAGGTGTTCATCAGTGGCCCTCTACCGCCAGTCAGAAGAGGAGTATAGAGATTCAGCAGATTGTTTGCACTGAACACCTGGCTTTCAACGGCCTGTACTGACCATTCTGTCCATTTATTAACAATTGAAACTTTTTCTGGGACCGCAGATATCTTTTTAAGGCAGATGGAATTTGCCTGAACAAGTCAGGAGTAAAATTGTTTATCTCTAACATATTCAACTGCCTGCGTCATCAATCTGTTCCCTCTGCCAAGGACAAGCGGCAAGAGGAATCAAAATAGGAGAAAGACACAACAAATCAGACAGAACACCTTGAAGAAGTATCACTCTACCTGCCTGAGGAATGTTTTGATTATGGGAGACCTATGAGACAAATGGAGGAGTCTCCACCGCCCTTCGTCCCTCCTATCAACACCTTTGAGGATGCTCTTCCTTCACCCCTCTGCTCTCTCTACTCTCCGCTCAACCTTTTACCCTCGCCCACCTGACTGGAGTACAATGACCACAAGAAGGAGATACAGAGGGTTGGCACCAATTCCTTCCTGGAGTTCAATGACCACATTAAGGCGATACACAGAGTTGGCAGCATGTCCTTTACTCCCACCCTTCAACGACGCCCACCATTATCACCGAAGCAGAGACGCGCATCATCTCCCCAATCTTCATCACCAAGCCTACACGTCAACCATACATACCTATGGTTAATATATTTTTACATTCATGCACCAACAATTATCGCAGAGAAAGGTAAGTGTAATTATAATTTGAATGGTTCGGTACCCCTAAAATCACATGTGGATACAGCTTGGGACCCGGATTGGCTTTTGTGTTTTTAAGGCAGCTCTAAATAGAGATATTAATGATTTAGAAGAGTAACTAGAGCTGTCAGGCAATTGAAGTGCAGTCATGGCCTTACCCCCCATTAAACTCAACGAGGTCCGGCCCTCTGTATTTTTTCTGAGGTGTATGTAATAAAATAAAAACACTGAAATGAACAGGGTTCTATTAGACTAAGTCGTTTCTTACTTAAACTGCAGAGCTACACGTTGGTTTCACTTGAGTGAATAAACTAGCAACAAAGCTAAAGTTAATTACATTCATCAAATGTCTTGACATTAACAACTTAATTAAACCTTGTCAACATAAAAGTGTTCTCCCTTACGTGTCCAAATACAAAAATTATGCAAGGTTTTTCTGATTCTCATGCATAACAACTTAAAGGGGACCTATCATGCAAAATGCACTTTTGTACGTCTTTTATACATGAATATGTGTCTCCGGTGTGTCAGGGAACTCACCAAGTGTCAGAAAACACAACCCTCTCTTTTCCTCCATACCCACATTTTCCTGACGTCAGAAAAGGGGTGCTCTGCCTATATGGGTAACTCTCCACCTATCAGGGGAATGGGGGGTAGGGCCACGAACGTGTCCGTTCACACAAGACCGCTCGAAAGCACTGGAGACGCTGTAGTACATTATGCCAGGCCTGTAAGTGGCACTGTAGTCACAGAATCAGCCCTTGCTGGAATAGAGCAAATAGAGCGAAATGAAGCATGGCTAAAATGCATGATCCGTTTGGTATTTTGAAAAAAAAACTTCAAAGACATGTTTTATATAGGTATGGCCCTACAATATATTTTTCAAATATAGAATGATAGGTCCACTTTAAAATATCATTTATGCTGTTGCCCTCCAGAGGGAGTATTATAGGTTTTTGCATGAATTGCTAATTCAATGTGATCTGATCATCATGTAAGTCACAATTATAGACAAACACAATCCGTTTCATCTTGTAGAACACACATGTATTCGTGTCTATTTTGATGAAATCACTAAAAGTATTTGACCTCCTAGAATTTGACAAAAACGAATTGAGTTAGGAGTTAAAACACTTTGTTTTAATCAGTGAAATACGATAAGAAGTGCTGTTCCAGCGTTAACTTATAGAAATCCCTCAAACATTTGTATTTGCTATTCACAAGTTTTAACTTCTGATGTGAACCATGCCTCGCAAAAAAAAAAATCTGAAGACCTACGAGAAAGAATTTTTGATTTCACCAAAAGTTAGGGATGCACCGTTAGGAGTACGAGTACATGAGGACAGTATCGGCCTGATACCCGTTAATGGGATCGGTATCGTTGCATCCCTAATAAAACACAGAGGGTTACAAATTAATATCAAATAGTTGAGATATTGATTAAGGTGCAGGTTATGTATAATGGGTTACACGGTTAACCCTTGGTTGTGCAGCCTGATGGCTACAGTCAGAAAAGCTTGTCCGAGAAGCTTAGTGCTGTGCCGAGGAGGGATGAGTCTGAGGCTCCTCATCTTCACTAGCTCTGCATGGAGGGATGAGTCCAAGGCTCCTCATCTTCACTAGCTCTGCATGGAGGGATGAGTCCAAGGCTCCTCATCTTCACTAGCTCTGCATGGAGGGATGAGTCTGAGGCTCCTCATCTTCACTAGCTCTGCATGGAGGGATGAGTCCAAGGCTCCTCATCTTCACTAGCTCTGCATGGAGGGATGAGTCCAAGGCTCCTCATCTTCACTAGCTCTGCATTGAGAAGTTAGCCCTAACATCGTTGTTTTTAAATCTGACGGACAAAATCTGAAGTCAAGGCATAATTTTAAAGGATTAGAACTGTCACTCTTCTGTAACAATAAAGTCATTCGGAGGGGGGGGAGGGGCGTCTCCTCTCCTCTGTGATGAGCTGCTGCTGAAGGGGACACACACATGCTGCAGGACTTCTGCCCCGTGTAGCGGGTGTCTGCAGGATCAGAACATTAAATCCAACATTCAATGTTCTGGGGGGGACGTTGTTTACCCTGTCTGCACTGTGCAGCTCCTTAACCTGTTTAGCCCTGAGCCATTTGTTCAGGTCTCAGGCTCGAAAATGGCATTCCCAGAACAAATGACCATATCTTCCCTTCTAAAAGGGTTAAATTATTAATCTTTTTTCTAAAAGTAATGATAAACCTGTGAGTTGGATGTAGATGAGTCAGAATCAATATAGATGTTTTTTATTTTAAAGAAAATTCAGATTGAACAAAGTAAAAAACTGTAAATTATAGTGTCAGTCCAAATATTATTGTTTACTTATAGTGAAAACTACCCTTGGATGATGGTAAGGTAGACTAAAAGCTTTAGGGAAAGTACAACATATAAGTACCCTGTATCAAGATTGATGCAAAACAAGTGAAATTTGACCTTTTTAGAGAGGTTTAGCAAAAAACACTCCACCTCTGAGGTGATTTGGGTGGAAATGGGGGTTTTACCGTTTATCTGGAACCCATTGGTCGATTTTGGTGATTGACATCTCTTTCTGACCATTAGAGCCAATAGAATCGAAGGGGAATCTCCCCACTCACACACATGGTAAAACAAAAAGGTGGGGGCTTCGCGCACACAGTTTTGCATCAGAGTTAAGCTATCTCTAGCTCTGACATCTAAAAACGGAAAAGCAGGTTTATTGCTTATGGATGATCAGAAATCATTTCAAATTGACACAGACACATTGGATTAACCTATTGATTAACTTCAGCAGCGTTTTTATCATTTGAATGCCATTGTAGACCACTTTTGACCAGACTACGACACAGGTAAACCATGTTAGCATTTTTAGCTACCTAGCGCCACATGTTTTGATGTCTGTTTTTGTTTATAAAGTCGTGAGTTCGTATCATTGAGTGATAATGTATGTACCCATCGATTCTGTGTCATCTCATGATGTGAAACGATGTGTTGGATGTGCAGAAAAGATAAATAATAAGGTTTTGTGAGTGAATTTCGGTGCAGTAATCTGTTAGCATTTTTCGCTCGTTGCTAATTCAGAGGCTCAACGTTAGCATTGTGGGGTTTTTTTTGAAAAAAAAATTAAAATGATCAGTTAGATGAGTTTCTTCCCGTTACATGGATATAAAACATTCATAGTTTATTAAATGAATATGCCCTCAGACACTGTTTCCTGCAAGATGTTGCAGGAGGGCCCCGGTACCGGGGTCTCTCGGGCTTAACAGGTTAAGCGACAGGCTGCTGCACCCCCGCTGTCTCACGGAGAGAAACCGCAGGTCCTTCCTTTCTGCAGCGATCAGACTATGTGCAAACTGTGCAATATATACCTGGCTGCTAAATCCTCAGAACTGTTACAGGATGTGTATTTTGTAAATTGTGTCACTTTTTTTTGTTGTTTTTTAAATATTTTATCTATTCCTTTTTTTTGCTTTACTTTAATAATTTTGTATTCATGCTTCTACGTAACATTAAGCTGCCTTTGGCTCTTTTCTGTTGTAACAACGTACATTTCCCCTCTGAAAAGTATCCCGATTGATTTGACCTGGGGCACAACAACACGTTGTACATAATAGGCTAAGGGGCGAGACATATCTAAGTGGTCGACCAATCAAAACAGAACTGGCCAGCTAACCATTCAGAGCAGACTGGGCTCTGGTTTCAGACAGAGGGTGAAAAGAGGCAGTATGACAAAAATAAAGAGCTTTTTCAGCATTAAAGCATGGATACATGTCCCAGTGAAGAAAATATACTAATACCAACCTGAAAATGAACAGAATATGTCACCTTTGTTGTTGTCTTCAGTATCTGGTTGTAAATGTCTCTCTGGATCTGAGTTCCTGGCTGGTTCTGGTCCTCCACAGTCCTCTCCATCAGCTTCTGTTTCCATGTGTTCAGCTGAGCTGCTGGCTGGAGGCTCTGCCTCTCTGTTCTCCTCAGTTTGAATTTGATGAAGCTGTGAGGACTGACGACCAACACACTTATGGCTTTTGACCTTATGCCTCCAGGTGAATCTTTTGTCACAAATACTGCAGCTGTATGGTTTCTCTCCTGTATGGATTCTAATGTGGTCCTTTAAACTCCCTCTCACTGCAAAAGATTTCTTACAAACTGAGCAGCTGAATGGTTTCTCTCCTGTGTGGATTCTCATGTGCTCCTTTAAATATCCTCTCTGTGTTAAAGACTTCTTACAGACTGAGCAGCTGAATGGTTTGTCTCCTGCACTATGTCTTGAATCACTAACATCTTCTTGTTTATTTCTCTGAGAGTTTGAACCTGGTTCTCTGGTCTTCTTCCAATCAGCACTGTCTTCAGTGTCAGGTTCAGAAGAGTCTCCAGAGTTGTCCTCAGTCTCTGGTTGTAAATGTCTCTCTGGATCTGAGTTCCTGGCTGGTTCTGGTCCTGCACAGTCCTCTCCATCAGCTTCTGTTTCCAGGTGTTCAGTTTGTCTTTGATGAAGCTGAGAGGACTGAGGTTTCTCTTCATCATCTTCACTCTTCACAGGGACAGGAGTGAATGTGGACTTGGTGATATCAGCCTCCTCCAGCCCTTGAAGCTGCTCTCCCTCCTGACTGCTCCAGAGTTCCTCCTGTTCCTCTTTAATGTGTGGGGGGGGCTCTGGGTGCTCCTGGTCCAGACTGGAGATCCACTCGTGCTGCTCAGGGGGAACCTCTTCTTTAACCACCACCAGCTGCTGGACGTCTGCAGGAAACAGGAAACACATATTCATCAGAATCGGTTATATTTGCCAATTAGGTTTACACATACAAGGAATTTGCTTTAGTATATGTGGTGCATAAAAGGACATGGAAAGAAGCATCTTAGCAAAACAAAATAAAATACAAATGGGATTATGACAGCTATTTAAAACGAAACCATTTTAAAACTATAAAAACTAATTAACGATATTTAAATGTGACAAATACTATACACTTTATGTAAAGTGAAGAACTGTGCTGATTTAAAAGAGGAAGTGTGCAGAAGTGATGTGCAGCATGTGCAGGATTTACAATGTTAAAAAGAACAAGGTGTTGATGTGCATTAATGTAATGTTATTATGGGGTGGTGTGACGGCTGTCGCCTTTCCTGTCCTGTTAAACCTTTTTTGCTATCCTGTTATGTAAATAAGCTGTGTGGTTGCTTCAACGTCATTGGCTACCCACTCCTGGTTCCGCCTCCGAAGATGCTGATTGGAGCACGCCGGGCCCAACGCGCTCCAATCAATCTCGCGACCGACACATCACTAGTCTAGACATTGATCCTACGCTGTCATTGGAGGCAGTCGCAATTTCTACAGGCTCGCACTACCTGTTAGCATCTGGCATCTGTTAGCATATAGCTCTCCTGCTTACAAACTTTTAGCCATCCCTGCTTATACAAGTAGTAGTTTTAGTTGTCTGCGATCTGCCGAGGCCTACTCCCACCTGTCGAGTACGGCTGTACTGAGGTGTTTTTCCTCCGGAGACGTCGCGAAGAGACGGAACCACTCCACCTGTTGCTGCATGCGATCTGCGATTTACGGAGGCCTGCTCGTCGCGAAGAGACGGAGCGGCTCCACCTGTTGCTGCCTGCGATCTGCGATCTACGGAGGCCTGCTCCCACCTGTAGAATACGGCTGTACTGGAGAGGTTTTTACCCCGGAGTCATTGCGGAGAGACGGAGTGGATCCACGCTTCGGGCTTGGCCTGCTTCCACCGGGCGTGTGCTGCTGTGCGAAGGAGGATTTTACCACCGCTGGGGCCTGCTTTCCACCTGTCCTGGTTCTGCTGTTGCAGAGGCCTGCTTTAACCCCGGGGATACCACGGAGGGACCGGAGCGCTTCCACGCTGCCGTTTTCGCCTGTCCTTTGCTGCTGTGCTGATTTTGCTCCAGGAATATCGCGGATACTGTGTGCTGGTCTGGGAAAATGGCCCATATCGGGATTCTGCTGTGCCTGTTAACTGTTTTGGACTATGAGAAGATCTCTAGTCATTCTGAGAAGACTACTGGATTCAGGTCTGTTCTGCCACCCGCAGTGGGAATCCCCTGCAAAGGTTCGGATGTGTTGCTCAAACAATTACCGGTTGCCTTGTCACAGTCAATCTGCTCGACAAAATATGTTTGTCTTTTTTGTTTTCCTGCGATGATGGTTCTTCAGGACTGCTTCTTAAGCTCAAATCACACTCTCGCAGACTTTTCGGTGTTTCTAAATTAGATGACAATGTATGTGTGTCGTTTCAGAGGAAAAGATGCCTGGTTTTGTTGTTGTTATTACTGTCAGGAAATGTACAACCTAACCCTGGTCCGCCCAGTAGTAGTAGTCAGATCGCTACTCCTGCTGATTTTAAAGCTAGGTCTGGGTTGGGTTTCATCCACTTGAATGTGCGCAGTCTGTTAGGTAAACTAGATTTTGTCCGTATCTGGGCGAGCTCAACTGACGCTGACGTCATTGTTTTATCAGAAACATGGCTAAACAAATCTATTTTGGCCTCTGACATTGCCTTAAATGGTTTTAATATGTATCGTACCGACCGGCCTAATAAAGGTGGTGGCGTTGCCATTTATGTTAAGAATATGTTCAGTGTAACCACATTAGTTTCCAAATCGATCAGTAAGCAATTTGAATTTTTAGCCTTAAATATAGAAGTGGCAAAGGGTCAACAGGTCATGGTCGTGGGCTGTTGCAGACCCCCCTCAGCTGGCAAAGACTCCTTGTCTTCACTAGCAAATCTTTTATCACAACTAGACTACAAGGAAATAGTGCTGCTTGGAGATTTTAACTGGGACTGGTTAACTGCAGTGTCAGAGGATTTAAAAAACCTTTGTATCTCTTTAAATGTTACTCAGATTGTGGACAGTCCTACTCGCCCTAACATTAAGTCCCCTAATAAATCCTCCCTAATTGATCTAATTTTAACTAATGTTCCCCATAAATATTCATCTGTGGGAGTATTTGCAAATGATCTGAGTGATCACTGTGTTGTAGCCACAATTAGGGACACTAAGGTCCAAAAGGTTAAACCTTGCATTATCATAAAGAGAGACAAAAAACATTTGGTGGAGCAGGGTTTTGTGCATGATCTGTTTGATTGGGGAAAAATCGATCTGTGTGCTGATGTGGAAAACGCATGGTCTTATTTTTATCTTGGTTTTATGGAGATCATTGATAGACATGCACCCCTGCGTACATTTAGAGTAAAGGGACGAGACAATCCTTGGTTTTCTGCTAATCTGTCCAGTCTCCTTCATGAGAGAAACAAGGCCTGGGCAAAGGCTAGGCAATCAGGCTCAGAGGTAGAATGGCTGCGTTTTAGGCAGCTAAGGAATAGCTTCACATCGAAAATCAAAAGTGCTAAATCAAAGTACTATCTGTCAGTTACCACAAAGAATCTGAATAATCCTGGAAAATGTTGGAAAGCCATTAAATCGTTATCCACCGGCGATATCCGTAATGAGCTACCTCCGTGCATTACCACAGCATCTGGCACTATATCGGACAGGCCTACTATGCTAAATTGCTTTAATGAGCATTTTGTGCCCTGTGGTTCTCTATTTGATTCTGTCACTAACTCTGCTTCTGTGAACACTACAGTATGTGACTCTGAAAAACGTGTGTTGGAAAACCCTTTTAGTTTTACCCCTTTTACTGTTGATGTTGTTCGTGAAGCTTTAACCAAGTTAGATCCTAAGAAACCGGCTGGCCCGGACAACGTAGAACCTTTCTTTTTAAAGATAGCTGCAGATTGTATTGCTCCACCTCTCACTACTCTTTTTAACCTCTCCCTCAGCACTAACACAATTATAAAATTGTAGAAGTCAGCGTATGTCCTGCCTTTGCTAAAAGGAGGGGAGGCCACCTTATTAAATAACTATAGGCCAATCTCTAAGTTGTCAGTTCTGGCTAAGGTTCTTGAACGCTTAGTGAGTGAACAGGTAAAGGAGTTTTTATGTACAAATGACATCCTGTCTAAACATCAGTCAGGCTTCAGAAAGCAACACAGCACCATCACTGCCACAATGAAAGTGGTGAATGATGTGGCGAGTATTTTAGATAATAAGCAGAGTTGTGCAGCTCTATTTATTGACCTTTCAAAAGCGTTTGACACCGTCGATCATCACATTTTAAAGCAGAGGCTAGCCAGAATTGGCATATCCAGCCATGCAGTAGCGTGGTTTGTAAACTACCTCTCTGAAAGGTCCCAATGTGTTCACTTTGATGGGCTGTCTTCTGAGTGGTTAAACATTGCAAATGGTGTTCCCCAAGGTTCTGTTTTAGGTCCAATTGTATTCTCCATATCAACAGTTTAGGTGAAAATGTGGATGAAGCTACTTTACATTTTTATGCGGATGATACCGTGATGTACTGTGCAAGTCCCTCCATTAAGGAGGCTGGTGTTAAATTACAGGCTGTTTTTAACATTATTCAGACTCAGCTCTCTGAACTAAAGCTTCTTTTAAATGTTGATAAAACCAAGGTAATGCTCTTTTCTAAAGCTAAAAAGACACCAGAGCATGTTTTAGATATTGTAACTACGCAAGGAACAAAACTTGAAGTGGTTACCTGTTACAAATACCTAGGTATCTGGCTTGATGATTGTCTCACTTTTAAACTTCATGTCAATAACCTGCTTAAAAAGCTGAGGGTTAGGCTAGGTTTCTTCTACAGGAACAAGTCCTGTTTCTCTTTTGAGGCCAGGAAAAGGCTAGTCACTGTGACCTTTTGACCTGTGCTGGACTATGGTGATTTGATTTATATGAATGCACCTGCCAATTGCCTGGTCAAGTTAGATGCTGCGTATCACAGTGCACTAAGATTTGTGACAAAACTGTAAAGCATTAACCCATCACTGTACCCTGTATGCAAGGGCTGGTTTACTTTCACTAACTGTACGGAGGCTCAGTCACTGGTACATTTTTATATACAAAGCCATGTTAGGGAAACTTCCATCTTATATCTGCTCCCTGATCTCACGGAGAATTGTAAGTGGCTACTGCCTGAGATCGAATGCTGTGGTTTTATTAAATGTGCCAACTGCTAGGACTGTCTTAGGGAAGACAGCTTTTAGATGCGCAGCTCCTCTGTCTTGGAATAGTCTGCAAATTAAATGGAAACTGAACAATCTGGTGCCACTAAATGTTTTTAAAGCTCGGTTGGATGCGACTCAATCGGAAGCTATTGGTACCTGTTTATGTGGATAATTATGTAAATGATGCTGTATGATGTCCTTTGTTGTTCTATTTATGTTTTTATGTTTCATGTGGAACTACTTGAGCAGGTCTCCCTTGAAAAAGAGATCAATGATCTCAATGGGATTTATCTGTATAAATAAAGGTTTGAAATGAAAAATCCCTGTGCCATCCCAGCGCACACCTGCCAGAGATTACGCTACAAAGCCTGGGGACAGCTATCACTCGGGAGGCTCTGTTGCAATCAGACGCCTCACACATCTTGCTCCTGTGTGGACTTTACAGACTTAAGCTAGTAGATTATTTTGACTCTTCTGAAAATGTGTTTACATTACATTACATTGCATTTAGCTGACGCTTTTATCCAAAGCGACTTACAATAAGTACATTCGACCAGGAAGACACAACCTTGAAGAAAACAGAATCATATAAGTACATCAGGTTTCATAGAGCCAAACATTTCAAGTGCTACTCAACTGGCTTTAGGTAAGCCAGTCCTTTATTGGTATAAAAGTGCTTCGTTAATAGTTCTAACG